TACATAAAATATGAAAAATACACTAAACACATACATGCCAATATTTAGCCCCGGTTGCCATTTATTCTCCGCTCCAACCACTTAAATCATTCTTTCAGTTGTTCTTTTTCTTCTTCTACCTCTTTCAGTTTCGCCTTCACCTCTGCAAGTTCCCATTTATATTTTTTTTACGTTCCTTTTATGCTTCACAATTCCATTGTGTTTTCCATTTTTCTTCTCCTACCTCCTTCAGATTCGCCCTCAAGTCTGCAATAATTCTATTGCTTTCTTTTTCATGTTCCCGTTGTCTTAAACACATATTATGAAAATATGCAGTTGTTCTCTATAGCATTCCCGATAACATGGTTCATCAACCCATTTCTCAAAATCACAAATAGGTTCGCAGGGAACCTTGTAAAACTGGTTCATACAGTGCTAGTAGCGGCATCCAACTTCACCACCGTCCCAACAATTTTGCATCAAGCATGCTTTTCCACACTTGCACTTTGGTGGACGAAGAGGTTGAGCCATTTGTGAAATATTTGCTTTTAGTAAAAAAAAACCTTACTTTTAATGAAATATTTGCTTTTAGTAAATTTTGAGCACACAAAATAACTACAATGATCCCGTTATTTATAGGCGAGAAAACACACACATAACGTAGTGTTCAACCGCGCTAAATACATAACGTACTATCTAATGGTTAAATATCATGATGTTGACAAGACAACTTTATGTCAGCTGGTCAGCTTTTTTGGTTCGACCAGACAACACACACATAACGTAGTGTTCAACCATGCTAAACACATAACATACTATCAAATGGCGCTATAAGTAGTGTCCAACAAACCTCTCCGCCATCTGCTTGAACGACATCCACACCATGGCTGTGACGGGCAATCCTCTTGCCGACTTCAATAACCCGTTGAAGGACTCTGACATGTTTGTAGTAAGAATTCCCCATCGTCTACCACCATCCGCATGCAAAGTCCACTTTTCCGGGTGATGTCGCATTAACCAACAATAGGCTGCCTCGTCTTCATGCCTGATAGAATCCATATGCCTCCGGAATTTATGCTGTTGGTGGTCGTTTGCTGCCATCCATATCAAATCATGTAGATCCTTGTTGGGATGTGCCTTCTGGAAATTGGCCTTAAAGTGCCTCACACAGTAGCGGTGGTATGCATAAGGTTCTTGCCATGCATGCAAGTTCTCCACAGAACTTAATATACCACTGTGCCAATCAGATATTAGACAAATACCTAAACGCTGTTTGACAACGTGCTCTTTCAGGTGGTTCAAAAACAGCGTCCATGTCTCTATGCTTTCATTGGCACAAACAGCAAAAGCTAGAGGAAATATCTGTCCATTAGCATCCACTTCCACGACTATCAATAGCTTGATATCGTACTTTCCATGGACATGAGTTCCGTCTATGGATATTATGGGCCGTCAATGCGAAAAACCATCAATTTCTGGCTTAAACGCCTAGAACACGTAATTGAATATGTTTTCTGGTGTTCCCGGACTCCGCTCAAGCTTCCATTCAACAACTGTCCCGGGGTTAAAGTGCTGCAGTGCGGCCATGTACTTTGGCAGAGATGCAAATGACTTATCCCAATTACCGTAGACAATATCAAACGCTCGTTTGCGCCCGAGAAATGCCTTTCTTTTCGTAATGGTATGGCCATATTCTTGGTGGACTAATGTAATGCACTCTTTGATTTTATACCTTATGGACGATTCGAGGTATGGAATAAGTACAAGAGAAATCAAGTCAATATCCAAGTTGAAGTGATTACCGTTGAATATGTCAATTTTGCATGTATGGGTGGGAATGTATTTACCCACTTTCCATATACCTGTCTTCTTCTTGGTCGCATGCAACATCCAATTACATGGCCAAAACCACCTGCGGCAAACAACCTTGTATACCATCGGACTTGACTCCTATACCTGCATCTCACGACACTCTTTTACGTTGTGCATTTTACAAGCCCTGCTTACGTGCGCTTTATCAGAAAAAAGCACCCCCTTTGCAAGCACCGTTGGTCTAGACTCATCCCACATTGTTGTCCGGATTTCATCAAAATCCCTTATGAGAGCTTCCACATCCGGCACGGTTGGCAAGTTTTCAATGTGAGGAATCTCCCTTGAATGAAACGACACTTCAGACTCGTATACTCTTCATCTAGGGGGGTCTCTCTTCGAATCAGGTCCTTCCTCCTCATCCTACGTATCACCATCCTCACGAGGAAAGGGTGTCTTATCTCTGGATTCATCGGCATTGTTATCGTAATCACTGTTCTGTTCCTCACTCTGTACATCTGCCATATCCCGATATAATACGTCGTTTTTGGGCAACTGAGTGAGTACGGGTGGTTCAACTTGCTCGTTTTCACTGCACAACCAACAAATATATAAGCTACTGAATTAATAAATGCTTTCCATATGGCTATATCACTTTACTTATTAAGTCGTAAGGTGATGAAATTCCATGATAGATGTTTTCAATTAGGTGATGACTACCGGATGGGCCACTTGTAAAATTCATATCCGGCCGGTAACCCCTATTAAATATATAAGCGTTAATACAAATTCAATACACCAAAAATATACATAATTAACACAAATGAAAATTGAAGTTTACCATTCGTCTTGTGAATTATGAAAAGCAGGGTATAAATTATTTTCTCGCTGCTCATTCGCCGGCGGTGATAAGTTTAAATCAAGGAAAACTCTTTCATCCGGAACCTGTCCGGCAAAAACTGCTCCAGAATAACCACCCGATGACTAGGGGTTACCTCTACTACGCACAACCTCATTTTTTGGAACGTCTTCGACCTTCACGTACATCTCCAACATTGTGATTACAAGAAATTTCCGGCATTCATCCGGAGTCCTCAGAAAATCACTCAAAGTTTCATCATCGTCGATGTTAAACTCCGAGTAAAAAGCAACCCCTTGCGGAGTGACGGAATACGGATATCTTCCGGTTACTTTAAGTATCACTGAACGTTTCCTCACACTCATTTTTTTGCATAACAACGATATCAATTTATCGTACTCCATTGTAAGTGGCAATTTAACATGACACTGAGCAGGTAAACTGTAGCCCACGGAGTTATTCTCCATCACAACCTCACCCCCCAATATAATGAAACTTTTATTCTACGCTCTTCAGACATAATGAAAAAATGCTGGAGAATTTAACATCAATAAACGTTTTAACAAGAGTATGGAAATGGCTAGCCGGGATATTTCAACGCTATACACCTTTTGAATGAATTTCTATACAATCCTAACCACTTTATATAGGAAATGGCTAGCCGGATTTTTTTTATATATAGCGCCCAAAAAGTGGGCACTATACGCTTTTGAATTATTGAAGTCAAGAATTATTGGTGGGGCCACGAAAAAGGTATATAGCGCCCAAATACTGGACGATATACATAATATAGCGCCGGGTTTTTGGGCACTATACCTGTTAGTGTCAGCTTTTTATATATAGCGCCCAAATACTTGGCGCTATAGCGCCCAATATTTGGGAGCTATATATAAAAATGTCATCTTTTTTTTACACCTATTAAGGTGCTACTTATGCAAAAGAACCACATTTTGGTTCCGGACTCATCACTTACTCCCCCTCCCGGTTTGATATAAAAATGAAAGTTCATGAACACAGATACCTGGCAGCAAAATGCACAAAACCACAGCTCTTTGAAGTAGGGATCTTAACATAAACAATTTCCCCAAACTGTAAAAATACTTGTCTCAGTTCCTCCTCAGCTAAGTTGGGGTCCAGATTACCAACATAAACCTGCAGTTAAGCAAAGACTGTCAGAAGAGAACTGGAAATATGACGTAACACATTCCAAGTTCTTAACTTACTGTTGTATTAGTCAAGTCATTATCTACAGGAATAGTCTGCACTGTAGGAGGATAAACAACAGAGGGATAAACAGCTGCATCAAAATAAAAATTCACTGTTTAGTGTACTGAGGAACATAAAGTAAATCAAAAGATAACTGCATTTATAAGCTACACGAATCTTCCAAGTAATGACTTGAGTGACCAAGAAATTTAATGTTCTTTCTCAGATAATTATTGTTCGCTTCAGTTATCAAAGGTGCATCATCAAGAAAAATAAAAAGTTAAGGGAACTGTTCCTGCAAGTATTTTATGGGTTGTGTAATTTGAAACTTAAAGACGAGGTTGATACTCTAATAGAATTCTATTGAACATTACAGGTTTAAGTTATGAACTGTATTCTCATATTGCATAGTCATTGGGATTCGAGGTTAGCTCACACATAGTGAGCACTTCATGCTTCACCAGTTGGTAAGGGATCAAATCCCACTCATATAATTATTTTATATCGTTTTCTCCTTTCAATTTGAAGAGTATGAAGAGTAACAATTTAATTAATATCAATATGTACATATTACTTTATAAACAAATAACAGAGAATCACAAACTGATTTCAAAATTTATCCAAAAATACAACATACCTATTAAATGTTCAGGAATCAATGCAAGAGCTCCTTTCCATTTGATTCATGAATCTTAGCAAGAAATGTAGTATATAAACCTAAAAAATAACACTGATTATCTTTCGATAGTCAAATTAAATTTTGGAAAACTTCTTTAAATACTATATTTGTAACTTCAGTACTTATTTGTCCATCGTCATCATAAACCAAAACTTTTAATCCTTTTGTAGTTGTAACCCGAGAAAGAGCAACATCTAATTGTCCGTGTGTAAACACTGGTTTCTTAAAAAATAATCCCACGTGAGACAATGATTGTCCTTGACTTTTATTGGTTGCCATGGCAAAAGATACAGCGATTGGAAATTGTCTTCACTGGAACTTAAATGGAATTCTAGCATCAGACGGAGTCAATGTCATTCTAGGAATAAACACTTTCTGTCCAGCCATATGTCCTGATAGAACCTTGGCTTCAATAACTTGATTTCCAAGTTTAGTTATGATCAACCTTGTTCCATTACACAATCATGTTTACCGATCAATATTTCTTAATAACATCACTGGTACACTAACCTTTAGAGTAAGAGCATGATTTGGAACTCCCGAACATTTAATAGTATTCAAGAATTCTGGTGTGTGTACATGTTCCAACGCTGAATAAGTCTGATCAGAGCTGCAAATTGTATCAGAACTCAAATATGATTTCTCAGAATTATGATTGAGCAAAATCATATATTGATTGATTGATTCCACCATATCAAGAGTTGGAGCAAGAATTACTCTTTGTTGGAGGTATCCAATATCATTGCAACAACGGGTGAAATCAGGATATGTACTTTCTACAATTGCAGATATTGGATCAACAGATTCTTTTATCAAAAGATCATCCGGTATTTGAACTTTTTCATTGCCATCAACTGAACTACCTATCATACCATCACCAATTGCCAATATCCAATCTGAAAAATCTCTCAACTCATCCACATGGGGCCCTATTTCATTACCTTGCAATCTCATATTCTTTGTTAGCGTTAAAAGCTGACAATAAGGCCATAAATAAGAAGAATTGAGAGAAGCATTAACAATATCTTGCCTAGTACCCTTTGGGATGACAGGTAATATTTGTCTGAAGTCACCACCAAGAATAACTGTTTTACCTCCAAATGGTCGTTCTAAATTAGATGTATCTTTGAATCTAAGAATATCTCTTAGAGTTTTATCAAGAGCTTCAAAACAATATTTATGCATCATCGGTTCCTCATCCCAAATAATCAACTTTGCCTTGACAATCAAATTTGCTAAAGGAGTACCTTGCTTGATATTACATGTTGAATCTTCAGTTAGATTGAGTGGAATTACAAATCTTGAATGAGCTGTTCGATCACCTGGTAACAATAGAGATGCAATCCCACTAGATGCAACAGTTAACACAATATCTCCTCTAGATCTTATGGCAGAAGCCAAAGTTCTCCATATAAAAGTCTTTCCTGTTCCTCCAAAACCATATAAGAAGAAAAATCCACCTTTGTTTTCATTTACACCTGTTATTATTTTCTCATAAATTGACTTCTGCTAATCTTTCAAATTCTTTAATAATTGTTCATGTTCCTCCGTCAGTGCGTGTCTATTATAACGCAATTCATCACGAATTAGTCTGTTACTATTGTCAACTTCTTCCGGGATGCCGTCCCGTAGTCCCAAAGTAAAAAAACACGCATCAACAACACAAGAATACCCAATTAAGCTAAATTTCGTACCAAGTAAACAGTTAATCCTAGCTTAACATGTTTCACGTAATGCAATTAAGGCAGTTTAAGCAAATAGGCAATTAAGTCAACTAAACATGCTTTTCTAAACTAGCAACAAGCTAAATTCACAAGTAGAATAAAACAACAATTGAAATACTTAAGGAAAAATCGGATTTTCAACAATTAGCTCAAGTACGCGCTCGTCACCTCACGTACAAGGCATTTCAATTATCAAATATATTATATCCTAAGGAGAAGGTCCCCCACACAAGGTTAGACAAGCCACTTACCTCGAACTGGCTCAAAATCAACCCGACACCACCTCTTTGCCATGAGTACTCGACTCCAAATAGCCCAAATCTATTCAATTTAATTGCATAATGTAAATAACACTTCAAGTAACTGATTCTACAATTAAATTTTAAGCTAATATGCAAAATTATGTAAAATGATCAAAATGCCCCTCGGGACCACGTCTTGGAATTGGGTGAAATTTACATTTTCAGAGACCTCGTACTCTCACGAGTCTATACATCACAAGAACACTGAAATCAGAGTCCAAATGACCCCTCAAATCCTCAATTAAAGGCCTCTTAAACTCGAGCTCTAATTACCCATTTTCCCAAATTTCTCACCACTAATTAGGTCTTTAATCACATAAAAATGAGTTATAAAGTCAAGGATGTTACCTCCAAGTGATTCCCCTTTGTTTTCCTCGAAAATCTTTCTCAAAAGCTTTAAACCCAGATGAAGATGGTGAAATAATCCCTCAAATTCGCGAAGGCAACTATTTATATGTTATGCCTAGCGATTTCCGCATTTGCGACCCTGGGACCGCATCTGCGGTCCCGCTTCTGCGGAAACTTCATCGCATCTCCGACTTTCATTTAAATACCAGAAACCGCATCTGCGATTACATTTTTCGCAGATGCGACACCGCTTCTGCGGTGTCCCTTCCGCATCTGTGGAACCTGAAGGAAAGGCCAAAATCCGCTTCTACGGTCCCTTATCCACTTCTACGGCGCCGCATCTGCGGTCCCCAAACTGCAGATGCGAAAATACCAGAAGCAGCAAAAATACATCAGCTGCAACATTTTCTAAATTTTCTTGTTAACCATCCGAAATCATCCCGAGGTCCCCGGGACCTCAACCAAAGGCATCAACATATCCTAAAACATTATTCAAACTTGTACAAGTCTTTAAAACACCTCAAACAACATCAAAATAACCAAAACACATCGGAATCAAGCCTAAGTTTCTAAAATTTTCCAAATTCCGCTTTCGATCAAAAACCCAACCAAAACACGTCCGAATGACCTGAAATTCTGCACACACATCCCAAATGACGCAACAAAACTACTGCAACTCTTGGAATTCCATTCCGGCCCTCAGATCAAAATCTCACTATCGAACCGGAAACTTCCAAAATTCAACTTTGGGTATTTCAAGCCTATATTAGCTACGGACCTCCAAAACACAATTCGAACACGTTCCTAACCCCGAAATCACCCAATGGAGATAACAAAACCATCAGATTTTCGTTCCGAGGCCGTCTCCACAATGTTCCAACTACGGTCACTTTACCAACACTTAGGCTCTCATTTAGGGACTAAGTGTCCCAAAACTCTCCGAAACATAAAACCGAACATCCCGACAAATCAAAATAGCAGAAATAAACTTGGGGAAAGCAGTTAATAGGGGACCAGGGAGTTAATTCTTAAGACGACCGGCCGGGTCATCACAAAAGCCATCTTAAGAATATTCGAGTCCCCGATCTTCATCTGGTGATAACTGAACGGAGATCAATCTTGGAGAACTCTCTCGCTCCCTGAGGTTGGTCGAATAGATCATCAATGTGAGGCAAAGGATACTTGTTCTTAATTGTTACCTTGTTCAATTGCCTATAATCAATGCACATCCTCATTGTGCCATCCTTCTTCTTCACAAACAGAATCGGCACACCCCAAGGTGACACACTAGGCCGAATGAACCCCTTATCAAGGAGTTCCTGAAGCTGCTCCTTTAACTCCTTCAACTCTGCTGGTGCCATATGATACAGTGGAATAGAAATGGGCTGAGTGCCCGGCACCAGGTCAATTCAAAAATCAATATCTCTATCTGGTGGCATGCCCGACAGGTCTGCAGGAAATACATCGGGAAAATCCCTCACAACTGAAACGAAATCAATACTGGGAGTCTCAGCTCCGACATCCCTCACAAAGGATAGATAAGAAAGACAACCCTTCCCAACCATACGCTGGGCCTTCAAGAAAGAGATCACTATACTAGGAACATAATCAGTCACACCTCGCTACTCGATCCGTGGCACACCCAGCATAGCCAATGTGACTGTCTTAGCATGATAGTCCAGAATAGCACGACACAGAGATATCCAATCCATGCCCAAAATGACATCAAAATCCACCATGCTCAATAATAATAGATCCACTCGGGTGTCCAGACCCCCAATAGTCATCACACACGACCGGTACACACGGTCTACAACAACAGTATCGCCCACCGGGGTAGATACATGAACAAATAAAGCAAGAAACTTACGGGCCATACCCAAATAGCGAGCAAAGTATGATGACGCATAAGAAAAGGTGGAACTAAGATCAAATAAAATAGAGGCATCTAGGTGGTAGACTGAAACAATACCTGTAATAACAACATCTAAAGCAATAACATTGGGTCTTCTTGGAAGTGCATAGAAATGGGCTTGACCGCCCCCTGATCGACCTCCCCCTCTAGGGCAACCCCTAGCTGACTGACCTCCTCCCCTAGCTGGCGGGGCGGGTGGTGATGAAGCAACTGGCGCTGAAGCCAATGACTGACCCCTCTGAACTAGCAAAACGACGAGGACACTACCTCCATATGTGACCCATCTTACCACACTCAAAACAACTCCCAAGTGCTGGAGAAGGGGACTGAAGGTAACCCCTCACACCGGAGTGACTAGCGGATGCACTCGGCATAGAAGAGCCCTGAACCGATGGAGCACGGGACGAACTCTTAGCTGAAAGAGCACTAAGTGAGGACTGGCCCTGCCGGGAACTGTGATAACCATGACCCGACGATGCCCCACAATAACCTGGGCGAGCAGGCTGAGCATGCCTGAATGGACGGCCTCCGCCATGCTGAAGCTGACCCCAGCATGGCAGGAACTACATAATCCTGAGCAGCTGCAACCGACTGGGCTGGATGTGCCCCCGGCGTTTGAAGTCCCTGCATGACCTACTCAGGTGTGCGAGCGGCGGGAGTCTGATTTCCTCCCCCAACCTGCGAAGTAGCTGCAGCTGTAGTGGCTGAAACCGCCTGAGCTAGGCCAGTACAAACTGATAAGATCTGAGCCAAGGACTCCTGAATACCCGGAATCACGATGGGCACAACTGGTGCCTGAGCTAGTGCTATAAGAGCATCCATAATTGGGATCTGATCCTGATCTGAGGCAGTTGGTGGATCTGCAGGTGCTGCTCTAGTTGCTCTACCCCTACCATGACCACGGCCACATCCTCGGTCTCTGGTGGCCACAACTGGTGGTACTGGGGGTCGTCCACCCCGACCAGTAGCGCGTGTCCTCACCATCTGTGAGAGAGTAGAACAAAAGAAGTTTAGTACTTGGATCAACAAGTTCGCACAACAAGAATTTCAAGAATATAAAGTTTTTCCTAAAGGTTCTGCAACCTCTCGAGGATAAATACAGACGTCTCCATACCAATCCGCGAGACTCTACTAAACCTGCTCATGACTCGTGGGACCTATGTAACCTAGGCTCTAATACCAACTTGTCACGACCCTAAACCCAGACCCGGTCATGATGGCACCTCTCGTGAAGACAAGGCCAACCAATTAAACCCAATTCACTTTTTAAACAGTTAAATCAACATAAAAACAGTCTAAAACATGATTTAATATCACTAAGGAGCGGATAATATCAATGAAGTGCGGAAGTACAACCCAATACAGCCCTAACCGGGGTGTCACAAGTCACGAGCATCTAACAACACTTAATACTCAAATGTAACTACATAGTTTAACACTGAATTAAAGACATAAGGAAAAGAGATAGGGAGGAGCTCCGGGCTACGAACACCAACAACTACCTAAAGACTCCTCGAGATCTACCTGAAGTTGGAATGAATCAACATTCGGGAGCGGGATCAGCTATGCCAGAATCTGCACATAGGGTACAGGGAGTAAAGTGAGTACTCCAACTCAGTGAGTAACAGATGTAAATAACGACTGGAAGTAAGAAAATACGTAAGGCACAAGGAATTTTATAATGAAGTAGTAAAATCATTTAAGAGCAATAAACTAGTGAAAATTAAGTAAAATCCTTTTTCAACAAGTAAATAGGCAATTGATGAGCAATTAAGGTAAAGTAAACAAATAGAAGTTCGCCCCTCGGGCACAGTATCAACAAATCCGCCCCTCGGGCAACATCTCAGAACAATACCAGCCCCTCGGGCTCAATCTCACATCACAATGGGTACCCGCACTCACTGGGGGTTTACAGACTCCTGGAGGGGCCCCTTACGGCCCAAGCGCAATAATGAGCCATCTCGTGGCATCATAACTAGGCCCTCGGCCTCACATCAATCAAGCCACCTCGTGGCGTACATATATCAGTCCCTCGGCCTCAAATCAATATCAGTGTTTCCTCACAATATAGGCCCTCGGCCTTACTCAGTCAAAAATCCTCATAAGCCGATCGAGTAACAGTAAAAATAGTGTTTCTCAGCCCAAACATCATTTAAATATCATTTAAGTAATAAAACTGAGTAAACATGACTGAGTATGAAAACAGTGCAAAATAGTGTGATTGAGTTCAAATATAAAGTCAAACAATGAGGAAATATCAGTGAAAAGCCCCGAAAGGTTCAAACAGTTGGCACGAAGCCCAAATATGGCATTCAACCCAAATAGTGATGATAGCAAATAGTTTTCAATCAAATACGCGATAAAATCATCAATCGGGACAGACCAACTCACAATCCCCAATAGTGCACGACCCCACACTCGTCATCAAGCGTATGTCTCACCTCAATATAGCACTAAGATGTGCAAATCTGGGGTTTCAAATTCTCAGAACATAATTTACAATCATTACTTACCTCGAACCGGCTGAATCTCTAGATAGCGACGCCTTTGCCCCTCGAATCGGCCTCCACGCACTTCGAATCTATCCAAAATCAAAACGAGGACGTCAAAATATGCTAAAGGAACGAAGCCCAAGCGAAAACAATCAATAAATGGCACAAATCCTAAAATTACCAAAACCTGACCCCCGGGCCCATGCCTCGGAATTCAATATTTTTTACGTCCATAGATTCCTTATCTCCCCACAAGTTCATACATATCAAAAGTTCTCAAATCCGACCCCAAATGGTCCTTCAAATCCACAATTAAAGGCCTAAGTTTCCAAGCCCTAGTTTCCCTAATTTTTGTCACGCCCCAAACTAGGGGAGGCACGACTGACACTCGATACTGTATTCGATCGAGTTAGCCACTAAACATACTAGCTAACTAAACTGGGGGCCCAACAGATTGGGCAGCACAACATCTAAAATACTAAGCCTAGCCCATTAAGGTCATGACCTAAATAACAATAAGCCATATAAACAAAGGTAGATGAGCCAAAATAATAAAGTACTAGCTGGCCGACGAGGCCGCGATTGGAGACATACATGCCTACACACATATATATACATGCCAAGCCTATGGTCTGGAAACTGAACGCTACAAAAAGAAACCCAGAATATTGTGTCCACAATAGCCTCTGAGAGTGTCATAAGCACTGTCGAGACAAGGCCCCGACTATACTCAAACTGTATAACAAAAGTAACCATTCTATGAAAGCTCCAGGAAGAGGTGGAGCTTACCAACTCACAGCTGAATCCCGAAATCCTAGCGGAGGGGTCGATCAGAGTCCCTATCTTGACCTATACGCACAAAACAAAAATGTAGTGTCCCCAGGCAACGGGACATCAGTACGAATAAAAATGTACTGGTATGT